GTCAGAGGTGCCACACCTGTCCCAGGGCTGTCAGAGGTGCCACACCTGTCCCAGGGCTGTCAGAGGTGACACACCTGTCCCAGGGCTACCAGAGGTGACACACCTGTCCCCAGGACTGTCAAAGGTGACACACCTGTCCCAGAGCTGTCAGAGGTGACACACCTGTCCCAGGGCTGTCAGAGGTGACACACCTGTCCCAGGGCTACCAGAGGTGACACACCTGTCCCAGAGCTGTCAGAGGTGACACACCTGTCCCAGGGCTATGAGGTGACACACCTGTCCCAGATCTGTCAGAGGTGCCACACCTGTCCCAGGGCTGTCAGAGGTGCCACACCTGTCCCCAGGGCTGTCAGAGGTGACACACCTGTCCCCAGGGCTGTCAGAGGTGACACACCTGTCCCAGGGCTGTCAGAGGTGACACACCCGTCCCCAGGGCTGTCAGAGGTGCCACACCTGTCCCAGGGCTGTCAGAGGTGACACACCTGTCCCAGGGCTACCAGAGGTGACACACCTGTCCCCAGGGCTGTCAGAGGTGACACACCTGTCCCCAGGACTGTCAAAGGTGACACACCTGTCCCCAGGGCTGTCAGAGGTGACACACCTGTCCCCAGGGCTGTCAGAGGTGACACACCTGTCCCCAGAGCTGTCAGAGGTGACACACCTGTCCCAGGGCTGTCAGAGGTGACACACCTGTCCCAGGGCTACCAGAGGTGACACACCTGTCCCAGAGCTGTCAGAGGTGACACACCTGTCCCAGGGCTGTCAGAGGTGACACACCTGTCCCAGGACTGTCAAAGGTGACACACCTGTCCCAGGGCTGTCAGAGGTGACACACCTGTCCCAGGGCTACCAGAGGTGACACACCTGTCCCAGATCTGTCAGAGGTGACACACCTGTCCCAGGGCTACCAGAGGTGACACACCTGTCCCCAGGACTGTCAAAGGTGACACACCTGTCCCCAGGGCTGTCAGAGGTGACACACCTGTCCCTGGGCTATGAGGTGACACACCTGTCCCAGGAGCTGTCAGGGGCTGGTGCTGGTACTGCTTTAGTCCTCCTCGATTAGCGTGTGAGCTCTAAGCTCTCTCAGAGCAGGGCCCTCAGATAATTTGTTCCCCATGGAAGGCCACAGAGCCTTACACTCTGAATCGATGGAGAGAGAGCAAATAGAAAAGACTGTTATTGCTGTTAAGAAAAAAAAAGACTCTCACTGTTACTTCAGTAATTATATTTCTCAAAAATGTTAGGGAAATGTCTACCTTTAGAGGGATTAAAGGTACAGGTATCAGAAGTCATAGTTTAAATGTTAGTTAGCTGACTGCCCTTGGCTTCCACCTTCATGACCAACCCGTCAGGTAAATCGGGCGCTTGAGCAGGCTGTGGCCCGGTCCCAGTCCTGATAGATGCTCCCGGCTGGACGGAGTTCAGCTCCTCTCCAGAGCCCCACCCTGCCGTCCCGGGTCCTCCCGCTCCGAAACCCTCGGGGCGTTGGTGCCGTCACTGTCCTCAGCTGCCCCTGCGCGGTCCCCCCCTTTCCCGCCCCGGCTGCTGTGCACCCCATGCTCCACATGGAGCACCGCGGGCCTCCCGTGGCGCCTGGGGACCAGCCTCTGAGAACACGAGTGGCAGAAGCGAACTCCTCCCGTCAGGATGGTGCCGAGTGACAGCAGCAGATGCTTAACTGTGACGCCAGACGCAGAAGTTACACAGCCACTGGAGGGGGGTCATCTTTACTTTATGGTCTTTGTCACTGAAAGGTGACTCTTCCAAATAACTAGAAAGCTTCTCTGAGCTTCGTATTTCCAGGTGATTTCTGTATTGGATGTCGCTTCCATTTTCCTGTCTGAGAAAAAGGCTTATCTAGATGGAGAGGCATTGGTTCAGTATCTGGGAGAGCAGCTAAGCCAACCAGCCGGTATCTAAGCCTTTCCGGTTCCCTGAGCCTTGCTGGCCAGGGTGTGGCCGCGGCAGAGCCTGGCGGCCCTGGGAGCATGCTGGCCAGCAGCCGGGCCCAGCGCCATGCCTGGGGGGGGGTGGCGCTCAGTGAGAGGAGCACTGGTGTAAAAATCAATGAGCTGATGTTTCCTAAAGAGCACTGCTGTGTGCGCACCAGGGTGCAGATCCTGCTGGAAGGATTCTGAGGTTCTGACTCGTTGGGAGGAGGAGAAGAGGCGGGCTGGCGAGCCTCCAGCGCCCTGAGTAGGAGGAGGAGGAGAGCCTCTTCCAGACAGACTTGGTCCAGCCCCCCACGCCCTGGGGTCCTTGCTGTCCCTGTTACTTAGAGCCTCCCTTTCATTGTCATTCAAAAGCCGTTTCACAGCAGGCCATTGAGTTCTAAGCCTGGGTGCATCATGGCTCAGTCTCAGGGCTGTGGGCTTCCAGGACAGGAGTCCCGCTTTCCTTCTCCCGGGGACACCCTGTTCTTCCTCGTGACTTCCTGGGACGCTGGGCCCTGGCTGGGGCCTGTTTCACTGTAGGTCACCATCGTGGTTAGTTCTCCAGGCCCTGGGAGGAGACAGCCCGTGTCTGAAACACCACGCCACCCCCATGGGGATGGATGTCTGACGATGCGGAGGACGCCGTCACACTCCAGCGGCTGTGGTGTCCTGCCCAACACGCAGTCTCCTTTCCTTTTTTCTTAACTTCCAGGGAGATTTGCTGGAGAGAGGTAAGTCCCGTGCGACCTCCCAGCGTGCAGCCTGCCAGCCGCGTCCTATGGAGGCTGCAGCGCACGCCACACGCACGCGGAGGGGAGCTGCTCCGCTTCCTGCCTAAGGCCTCGCAGGGCTCCTAGAGAGACTTCTGCCCATCAGCTGCCTCTGAACAGCCATGGCTGCCTCCAGGCCTCGGACCCAGCAATGGGAATCTTTAGATACTGTTGAGATGTACAGCATAATTATCATAGATCCGTGGTCGGCAAACTGCGGCTCGCGAGCCACATGCGGCTCTTTGGCCCCTTGAGTGAGGCTCTTCCTAAGCCTTAGGAGGACCCTAATTAAGTTAATAACAATGTACCTACCTATATAGTTTAAGTTTAAAAATTTTGGCTCTCAAAAGAAATTTCAATCGTGCTGTTGATATTTGGCTCTGTTGACTAATGAGTTTGCCGACCACTGGCATAGATAGTGATTAAATCTGTTTTTTTAATTTTAATTTTAGGGACCTGTTGCAATGCGAGTGGCAAAATTAGCAATTAATCAGGGGATGGAGGTAAGTTCCTTGATGGTTGAGTTTGTTGTTGGAGTAGGTAATGGAGATTTAATTTAAATGAACCATCTTTAGACTTCTACATTATATTTTAATGTTCTAAAATATAGCTGTTTCAATGCCACTGTCACTGAAAGCTACTGAGATTCTTTTTATTTTATTTTATTTATCTTTATTATTGAAAATATTACAGATGTCCCCTTTTTTCCCATTGACCCCCTCCACCCACCCCCCACCCCTACCCCAGGCCTTCACCGCACTATTGTCTGTGTCCATGGGCTGTGCATATATGCATACAGGGTCTTTAGTTAATCTCTTCCCAACCCCGACCCCCGCCTTCCCTCTGAGATTCCACAGTCTGTTCTATGCTTCTGTGTCTCTGGGTCTGTTTTGTTCATCAGTTTATTGTGTTCATTAGATTCCACACATGAGTGAGATCATGTGCTACTTGTCTTTCTCTGACTGACTTATTTCACTTAGCATAATACTCATTTAATCCTGCAAATAGGTGTTAGTGAACTCAGTATCATAATCACAGAGTTCGGTGATTTCTCTGATGGCCGCACAGCTTGTGGTTTTCCCATTGAGTTAATAGACTTCCTGACTGTAGTCCATGGAGAACCAGAGCAAAGGGCCTTCTGCGCATTCTCAGTGCCGGCACCTTGTTAGCGAACACGCATCGGGGCGCCTGGCTCTGCACCTGGCACTCCTAGGTGCTGCCTGCTTCACGCGCCTCCCTGCAGGTGCTGCCAGGTGTGTCCTGGACCGTCCTGGGCGGGGCTCCGGCAGTGGAGGCCAGGCCGGGCAGGGCAGGCAGCCGTTGGCGTGGGCTTGCACCTGCAGCAGTTCTGTTTTGGTTAAATGATGGAGTTTTTAAGAAAGATGCTTATTCCTTGCATATCCAGAGCCCACTGTATTATCCTGGGCTTCCCAGCAGTAAAAAGAAATTGAATTTGTTAGCAATAATGCAGTTTTTAACATTTACAAAGTACTTGATTGGTTTTTAAAATTCTTACATAATAGTAACAATATTTAGTAGCAAACACCTTATGTGACCCTGGCTGTGTGCCCTTGCCGTCTCACACACATACACCCCCCCCAGCCCCCCCCCCACACCTCATTTTATTGCACTTTATTGTGATTAACAGATAATTGCATTTCCATCAACAACCAGGCAAGACCCTCCAACAGCACAGACACGAGGACTCACTGAAGGCTCAGGTGATGGCGAGCATTTTTAGCAATGCAGTATGTTTTAACTAAGAAATGCACATTGTTGTTTTAGACATAGTACTATTGCACACTTAATGGACTACAGTGTAGTGTAAACATAACTTCTATATGTGGAGGGAAACCAAAAAACCGTGTGACTTTATTGTGGTATGTGCTTTATCGCTGTGAACTGGAGCCGAGCCCGCAGTGTCTCTGAGTTCTGCCTGTGTATCTAGGCACTTTATAGAGTCCTCACCCGCATTAGTTCGTCTCACCCTCACAGCACCCTTGATGGGTAGGAGCTGGGTGAGCCCCTGTGCAGACGCCTCTCACGCACAGGGAGGTGGAATACCGCCCCAGGGCCTCACAGCTCCCAGTGGTGGAGGCGGAGTGAACCAGGCCTCGGTTCCAGAGTCCCCCTGCTGGCCTCCTTGTGATTTGCCATGTTCCAGCGAAGGCTCTGTTCTCTGGGGATAGGGTGTGAGTTTGATTTACATTGAGTATCCCGTGCTTTAAAAAGGAATTCCTGCTGACGTGAATTATGCTTTTATCCTCAGGTCGATTTAGTAACAGGGTTGGCCATAGAAGAAGCTTGTTATGCTCAGGTATGTAACACAGTCACAGTCAGTGCCTCCGGTGTAAGTCAGGTGAATTATACATGGCTGAGCAAGGTCACACTCACTCCGAAGCCACACAAATGTTAAAATGGTTTCTATTTGACTGTCCCAGCTCTTTTGGTTGATTCTGTTCACAAACTAATGACTCCTATCTACATAATTTAGAAAACTCTTAGAACAACTTAGTACCACTTGTGCTAGAGCTGTCTCTCTGACTCAGGTTTTTCTTGTGGGTGTGACTTGACCCCTCACTGCAGGTGCAGCGTGGAGGTGGGAGGCGGGAGGCGGGCATCGTGAGCGGGTGCCTGCTGCGGAGCATAGGTGTTGAAGACTCACTGCTTTTCCTGGCATTCGCAGCCTTCCCTAGCCCTAATTCCAGTACCCAGTTTCCTGTTTTGTACACAAATTATTGGGGCTTTCTGTAGGGGAACAAACGGTCCTTCCTTCCTCCCTTGTCTCCCCCGCCCCCTTCCTCCCGTTCATCTTCCCTTCTGCTTTTCTGAAAGATGTAACTGCTTTAGAGCACCTAAAGTAGCAAACGCGCTTTGTCCTGCCTTTCCTGAGAATTAGAAACTGCCTCAGCCTCCATTAGACGGTGGTCGTGGAAGGAGCGTGGGTGGAGTTACTCTGCCTGGGCGCGTGGAAACCACCACCTGTTGTTGGTGAGCACATGCCGTGAGTGCCGTGAACTATAGGCCTTGTACGGAGCCTCTGAGGCCAAAGAAAAAGTTTAAAAGCATATTTGTTTACAAATCACACCTTAACAAGCGTAAAGGAACAGAAATCATACCAAGTATTCTGCCAGACCACAGTGGAATTGAACTAGAAATACAGGTGGAAGATCCCACTTTCCAATGGTGGGTTTTAATCTTTAATGAAGGTTAAGCAAGGCACATGTGTCAGAGAAGAAGTCTCAAGAGAAATTCAGATGTTGCTGAACTGAATCAAAATGAAAATGAAATTTACCAAAATTTGTGGGAATACATTGAAAGCAATTGCTTTGAGAGAATTTGTAGCATTGAATGCATATATTAGAAAAGAAGAAATATCTAAATCAATAAGTTTCCACTTTATAATTAAGAGCAAGTTAGATGTAAAGTAAGCAGAAGAAAAAATAAACTTTAGAGCAGAAATCAGTGAAAATAGAAAAACAATAGAAAAAGATCAACAAAACCAAAAGTTGGTTCTTTGTAAAACTCTATAATATTGATAAACTTCTAGCCAGGCAACCAAGGATAAAAGAGAGAAGATAAAAATTACCAACATCAGAAATGCAAGAAGGTCCATCACTACAGATCCCATGGACACTAAGGAGAATAAAGGAATACTGTCAACAGCTCTTTGCCCAAAAATCTGATAACCTAGATAAAATGGACCAATTCTTTGAAATACACAAAATACCAGAATTCGCACAAGGAAAAATCATCTGAGTAGTATGTTTGTTAAATAAATTAAATCAATAATTAACCTTCCAAAATAGGAAGCATCAGACCCAGGTGGGTTCACTGGTGAATTCTTTCTGACATTTAAGGAAGAAATTATATCAGGTCTTTTTCAGAAAAAAGAAGCAGAAGGAACACTTTCTGAAACTTATTCTATGAGAGCAGTATTGCCTTGTTACCAAAACCAAAGAAATTACAAAAAAAGGAGAACTGCAGACTTCTATTTCTGATGAAGGTAGATATAAAAATTCTCAATGAAGTATTAGCAAATCAAATCCAACAATGTATAACAAAAATTATATGCCATAACCAGATATGCAAGGCTCATCCAACACTTGAAAATCAATTAATGTAATCCACCACATCAATAGACTAAGCAGGAGAAATACAATTATATTAACAGATGAGGAAAAGGCATTTGACAAAATCCAACACCCATTCATGATTAAAAACTCTCAGAAAATTATGATTAGAGGGGAGCTTTCTCAACTTAATAAGAATGTCTACAAAAACCTACAGCTAATATATTTAACTAGAGGCCTAGTGCACAGATTTGTGCACCAGTGGGATCCCTCAGCCTGGCCTGCACCCTCTTGCAATCCGGACCCCTCGGGGGATGTCGGACTGCCGGTCTCGGCCCAATCCCCGCAGGCCAGGCCAAGGGACCCACTGGTGCACGAATTCATGCACCAGGCCTCTAGTATAAATATAAGATCTTTGGTTAATCTCTTCCCACCCTCTATCCTCCCCTCTTCCCTCTGAAATTCATTAGTCTGTTCCATGTTTCCATGTCTGTGCATTGAGTGTCTGCCCTCTGGTGGTCAGTGCATGTCATAGCTACAGGTCAAACGGTCGCTTAGGCTTTGATATATATAGATGATAAGGAATAGGGCAAGGATGTACCCTCTTACCACTTCTTTTTAGCATCTACTAGAAGTTCTAGCTAATAGAATAAGACAAAAAGAAATGAAAGTTGTACAGATTGGGAGGGAGGAAATAAAACTATTTATATATTACATGATTGCCTATGTAGAAAACCCCAAAGAATCAACCAATCACACTAACTCATAAGCAAGTACAGCAAGATTGCATAACACGGGGTTAGTATATACAAAAGTAAGTTGCTTCCCTGTATACCAGCAATGAAGAATTTTAAATTAAAAGCACAATATCATTTACATTAGCAAAAAAAAAAATACTTGGGTATAAATCTAACAAAATATTTGCAAGGTCTATAGAAGGAAAACTACAAAACTGGTGAAAAATCAAAATCTAAGTAAGCCTGGCTGGCGTGGCTCAGTGGTTGAGTATTGACCTTTGAACCAGGAGATCACAGTTCCATTCCTGGTCAGGGCACATGCCCGGGTTGCAGGCTTAATCCTCTGTGGGGGCGTGCAGGAGGCAGCCAATCAATGATTCTCTCTCATCATTGATGTTTCTATATCTCCCTCTCCTTTCCTCTCTGAAACCAATAAAGATACATTAAAAAAAAAAAGATCTAAGTCAATGGAGAGATGGCCCATGTTTATGGATAGTAGGATTTAATATTATTAAGATTTCACTTCTTCACAACATGACCTATATATCAGTGCAATCCCAATAAAAATCCCAACAAGTTACTTCTTTATATTGGCAAACTGTTTCTAAAGTTTATATGGAAAGTCCAAAACCCAGGTTAGTCAACACAAGATTGAAGAAGAACAAAGTTTGAAGACTGACACTACCCAACTTGAAGACTAACTATAAAGCTACAGCAATCAAGACAGTGTGGTAGTGGCCAAAAGACAGACAAATAGATCACTGGGACAGGATGGGGAATCCAGAAGTAGACTCACTCAGGTACAGTTAGCTGATCTTTGACACGTGAACAAAGGCAATTCGACACAGAGAAGATCGTCTTGAAAGCAAATAGTACTAAGGCATCTGGATATTCAACTTACAAAACAGTGAATCTAGACACTGGCTTTACATAAACATTAACTCAGAATGGCCATAGACTTTCAAATGAAAAATGATAAACCTCTTGAAGATAACAGAAAATCTAGGTGACTTTGGATTTGGCAGTGACTTTTTAGATATACCACCAGAAGTGTAAAAATGAGAGGAAAAAATCATGTTTGACTTTATTAAAATGAATACTCTGCAAAAGACACAGCAAAGAGAATAAGAAGACAAGCTGCAGTCTGCGGGGGGGGGGGGGGGGGGCGGAATCTTTGCAAAACACTTATGAAGGGTGTGTGTCTAACTCACAAAGAACTTAAAACTCAGCAACAAGAAAATAACTCGTTGAAAGGTGGGTAAGAGATTTGAACACAGACCTCACCAGAGTAGATGTACAGACGGCAAATGAGCAGACGAAAAGATCCTTAACATATGTCATTAAGAAATGTAAATAAAAATGAGCTACGATTTGGCCATTTCTTGCAAAGTGAAGCCTCTGACCCTGTGGTCCAGCAGGATGTGTGTAAGCAGGCGAGCTGAGACTTCCGTCCACACAAAGCCTGCACCACGTCCAGGGCAGCGTTACTTATAATGCGCAGACGGCCTTTGGGAGGTGATGGGTAGACTGTGGGGCCCCGACAGTGGAGTATTAGCCACGATCACAGGACATGACTTGCCCGCCACAGAAGGGCATCAGAAACTGTAATGCGCATTGCTAAGTGCAGGACTTCCATCTAAAAGGCTGCACACGACATGATTTCAACTCCGTGCCATTCTGGAAGAGTCAGTGGGTCGGGCAGGGATGAATTGCGGCCACCCGGGATGTTTAAAGCGGGAATGTTTCTGTAGGGCGCTGTATGGTGGATCCGCACACACATTGTCAGAGTCCATGAAAGAGGCCACTCGGTGAGCCCTAATGCAAACTCTGGGCTTCAGTTATAATATATGGATGTTGGTTTCATCAGTTGTAACAAATGTACCACTCAGGCAAGGTATTAATATTAGAGGATGGTTGGGGTCCTGAGGGAGTCTATGGCAGTGGTCGGCAAACTGCGGCTCGCGAGCCACATGCGGCTCTTTGGCCCCTTGAGTGTGGCCACGAAGTTTCAATCGCACTGTACGTGCGTGCCCGCACGTGGTATTTTGTGGAAGAGCCACACTCAAGGGGCCACAGTTTGCTGACCACTGGTCTATGGGAACTCTGAACTGTGGCTCAATTTTTTGTGTGAACCTAACCTAAAATTGTCTAAAAAATAAAGCCTATTAATTGTTTAAAGTATATTTGAAATGGAGAAAAACCATAGTTGGAATTGGAATAATAAATTTGGACACATAATTAGGATTGTTCAAATGACTACTAGATTTCAAAATTTTAGATTGTGTTCTAATTCGTTTTCTTCGATAAAACTTGTCAAAACTGTTTTCCCAGTTTTTACTTTTGGTACACATCACATAATGTTTTGTTTCTCTTAGACCATTCCAACGAAAGACAGACTTGAAGGTCTTCTGGCTTTTAAGGAGAAAAGATCCCCTCGCTATAAGGGGGAGTAGAACAGACAGCGGCCTTGGAAGTGCCAGTGTAACAGTGTGCTTCTGGGAATGGCTCAGCGCCTGACCTCCGTGACCAAAGCGAGGAGCGGCGAGCCAGCGGCGCCCCTGAAGGCGGCCCACGTGCACTTGTCCCACTGTAATGCCACTCAGCCAGAGTGTAAGCTAGTGTCCCGTCGAAACAGATCCAAACGTAGGTAGGCGTTCTAAGACATTTCCTGCATATGAAGCTTTCTGTTCTTAGTTTTTGATGTGAATAATGTATATACTGCACTTCAGGAATAATGTTGATTGTAAGTCTACTGTGCTGCAATATGAAAATAAAATTATTTCTATAGACCCAAAATGCGAAGTTATACAAGTAAGTTTCTAAGGGTTCACACACACACACACACACACACACACACGTGCATCTCACACTGAAAAATGATTGCATAGATATTCTAAGTGAAATTGATCAGATCTAAATAAAATTAGTGAAAAGAAACTTGGGAGTTTTTCTCTCACCCCATTCTTTTCTAATTGAATAAAACATCGCGTGTTGGCTTTTAGAAGAAACCAGCTTTCCCTGCTGGTTCTCTCTGGGGAGCTCAGTCGTCAGAGACAGGCCTGGCACCTGCTGCTCAGCCTCCCGCACGTGGCTGGCCCTGGCCTCCCCAGAAAAAAAATGGCAGCCAGGGTCGTGGGTTAAGGGTGCAGTGCAGCCTGCCTCCCGCTCTCCCCTAGCCCCCCACTTCCTCGCACCTGATTTCAGGAAGGAAAGGAGGTGGCTTTCCCCCTGGCCAGGCAGAGTCTCCAGACTGGGAGCAGCCAGCAGGTCAGTTGGGGTGCCTTGCCTGGGGCGGGCCTCTGGGAGCCTGGGGGACTGTGGACTGAGCGTGACAGGGGAGGAGGACATCACAGCCCTGAAGGAGCTGAGCTGCCTTTCCTTTGTGTTTGTGTTTGGTTCATCACACCAGGCTGCCTGACTGCGGGACCTGTGCCTCGTTTAAGGCCCCGCAGCCCCGCCCCGAACGCTGCAGGGCAGGGGGGGAGGCGTGGAGAGGGGGCGCTGTGCAGCTAGGACACATTCAGGACGCCTGTTCCTTGCAGCCCGCACTCGGCATCGCGACCTCGTTCCTTTTGGAAAGCGTATATGCTTAGAAACTCAACACCTAAAAACACACAATCCATTAAAACATGGGCAGAGGACCTGAATAGACACCTCTCCAAAGAGGACGTACAGATGCCAATAGACATATGAAAAGATGCTCAAGGTCACTGATCACCAGAGAAATGCAAATTAAAACCACAATGAGCTATAACCTCACACCTGTCAGAATGGCTACATCAATAAATCAACAAACAACAAGTGCTGGCGAGGATGTGGAGAAAAGGGAACGCTAGTGCACTGCTGGTGGGAATGCAGATTAGTGCAGCCACTGTGGAGAACAGTATGGAGTTTCCTCAAAAAATTAAAAATGGAACTGCCTTATGACCTAGTGATTCTACTTCTGGGAATTTATCTGAAGAAACCAGAAACACAATTGGAAAGAACATATACCCCCTATGTTCATCGCAGCGTTATTTACAATAGCCAAGATTTGGAAGCAGCCCACGTGCCCGTCAGTAGATGAGTGGGTAAAGAAGCCATGGGACATTTACCCAATGGAAAACTAGGTCATACAAAGGAAGAAAATGTTACCCTTGTGACAGCATGGAGGGGCCTGGATAGCTTACGTTAAGTGAAAGAAGCCAGTCAGAGAAAGACAAGTGCCATGTATTTCACGTAGAGTTTAACGAACAAACGGAACTAACAAGAAAAATGCAGAGACTTATAGATAGAGAGCAGGCAGGCAGCTGGAGATGGGGCGGAGGAAATTGAGCATAAAGAGAACTCATGGACACGAACGACATTGTGGTTATTGCATGGGAGGAGGGGAGGCAGAGGTGGAAGAGAGTAGTGGGGTATAACAGTGATGAAAAAAATGTTTAAAGAAAATTAAAGAAACTGAGACACTGTTCTGTATCCAGAGGGACACGCGAGAGGAGACAGCCTTCTCGGCAGCTGGAGCCGCCTTGAGCCCCTGAGACCAGCGAGTCTGAGGACTTGAGGCTGAGCAGCCACACCCATCGGAAGGAAGGGTGAGGGCCAGGGGCGCTCCTGCCGCTTCCGAGGAAGCCTGGCAGCATCTTGTCTGGTCTGCACTGCTCAGACCCAGCGCTGTATTCATTTCTCAGCGCCCCCGTGTCAGGCGGCTAGCGATGTCACTGGACAGCACACGGCTCTGGCCACGTCTCCCCTCCTCTGAACCCGCAGTGAGACCTCAGGCAGCGCACCCGCCCGGAGCCCGATCCTCATCCGTAAGGTCCAGTAGCTGCTCCCGATCATGGCGGACAGACCAGTGGTGTCGGGCCAAGGGCTTTGAACCAGCGGTGGCCTCCGGATGTTCCCATTTCAGAGGAGAGGTGTTGGGACAGGGCGGTGGGTCTCAGACCACGTCCGGCTCAGGGCCTGCTCGGAGCCTGGGAAGAGACGGTGAGAGACCTGGGCCTTAGCGAGCCCATTGGGGCGCTGGGGCCTGTGAGGCTACCAGGGCTGGGGGAGGCCCGTGGCCCCGCACACGTGTACGCTGACCACTCTGCGCTTCTCCAGACAGAGGAGGACTGTGGGCAACAGGTGCCACTCCCCTCCCCGGGCCCAGGGGCGTGCTGAGAGGACGGCTCTGCTAACCTGAGCCTCGGCCCCTCTGGGCTGAGCAGGCGGACTGTCACTGCCTTCCCTGCTCCCTGTGGGCTGGGCCAGAAGAGGCTCTGGGGCGAGCAGTAGCTCTGATGTGTTAAAAGTGATGGTGCTGACAGGACCAGTTTTGAGGGCGGGTGGGTGGGCCGCCCAGAGGAAAACAGCCCATTTCTCATCGCCTGCTGGCTTTCGTGGCTGCCAGGCTGCCTCCTCGTCCCAGAGGAGATGCTGGGGGACTCGGGGCCTGTGGGGGCAGCCGTGACGGACCAGGGACAGGCAGCCCTCGCAGGCCGTGCCCACGCCGCACTGCCAGGGCCAGTCCCACGTGTTCCCAGGGCGGGCCGTGGGCGCAGCTGCCACAGGCCATGGTCGCAGAGGAATCTGAACCAGCAAGCGGCCCCCTGAGCTTTTTGAAACGAGGCTGAGTCACTTTCCCTGTCAGCCTCTGACCCCTTGAAGGAACAAGCCCTTTGTGCAGTTTGCAGAAAGTGCGTGGTTGGCAAGCGGCAGTTCGGACCTCCTGCCTCTCCCTCACTAGCCTTTGTTTTGAGTTGTTCATTGACATTTTCCAAAACAGTTTTTATGAAGCCTAGAATTTGCTCACCAGTGGCCACGATTTGAATGCTTTAAATATACAAGAAATGTGTGACTTGCCATAAAAGACAGGAAATGACAGCCCTGACTTGGCAGGAAGAAACTCTAATTCTTGGAGGGCTGTACCTGCCAGTGGTGTTCGCATTTTGATTGGTGTGTATATGCAGTTAGATTGTGTAATGATTGACAGGGTGGGCCTGGCATCTGCCATTTTGCTATTTGTTTTCTCATGCCATACTTGCCCTGACCGGTAATCAAACGGTGACCTCCAGGTGCATGGGTCGACTCTCAACCACCGAACAGCACTGGCCGGGCAGTGCTTTATTTTTTTATGTAGATTTGAGTTACTCTCTAGTGTCACTTCAACCTGAAGGACTCCATTTATATTATTTCTTGTAGGGAAGTTCTGCTTGTGAAAAATTCTCTGTTTTTGTTTATCTTGGAATGTCTCAATTTTTTCTTCACTTTTAAGGGATAATTTTGTTAGATATAGGGTTCTTGGTTGACAGTCTTTCCCCCTCCAGACTTTAAATATGTTGTCCCACTGTCTTCTGTCCTGATGGTTTCTGATGAGAAACTGGCTGTCAATCTGTTGAGAACACTGTGAAGCCGCTCCTCCCTGCTGCTTTCATGATTCTCTCTTTGCTTTGGCTGTTGGCAGTTTGGTTATAATATGTCTTGGTGCGGATACCTTTGTGCTGATCCTGAGCTTTTTGGCTGTGTAGATTAATGCCTTGTGTCAAATTTGGGAAGTTTTTGGTCAGTATCTCAAAAATTTTATATTGATTTTTAGAGAGAGAGGAAGGAGGGAGAGAGAGAAACATCGACTGGTTGCCTCCCACATGCCCTCTGACTTTGCATGGAACATGCAACCTGGGCATGTGCCCTGACCAGGAATTGAACCAGTGACCCTTTGATGCATGGGATGACACTCAACCACCTGAGCCACACTGGCCAGGGCTCTTTAAATATCCTTCCGACACCTTTCTCTCCCCGTGGAACTTCCGTGTGCATGTTAGTACACCTGACTGTACCCCCAGGTCTGAGGCTTTGTTCATTTTCCTTTTATCTTTTTTCTGTTTACTCTTCTGATTTGATGATTTCTTCTGATATGTCTTCAAGTTTACTGATTCCTTTGACATCTCAAATTTGCTCTTGAGACCACTTAGTGAATTCTATGGCTGCTTCTTTTCCTTGTATGGGTCACACTTTCTTGTTTCTTTTCATATCTTACATTTTGTTGAATAATAAACATTATATATAATAAAACCCTAATATGCAAATCGACTGAACAGCAGAACGACCGGTTGCTATGATGTGCACTGACCACCAGGGGCAGACGCTCAGTGCAGGAGCTGCCCCCAGCCCGCAGGCCCCAGGCCAGCCAAGGCGGGTGCCAGCCGGGGGCCCACCGGTCGCCCTGTAGAGAGAAGCGACCAACCAGTGGCGGTGGCAGGGGACCCGTGCACGAATGTCACGCACCGGGCCTCTAGTGTTAAATAACATGGCAACTCTGGAAGTCAGATCCTTGTCCCACCCCCGTGTTTCTGGTTGCTGTTTGTTATTGTTGCTCTTGGTTTATTTGGTGACTTGTCTGCACTAATTCTGTAGTCTTTGTTGGGTGTGGCCACTGAAGTCTTGGTTTGGTTGGCTTAATGGTCAGCTAATGATTGGACTGAGATTCCTTAAATTCCTGGAGCCAAGAAGTCTCCCTCTCACGGAGGGGCTCTGCATGGCCAGGGAGTGTCCTAAATGCTTTGTCAGGCAGTTGGCAGCCT